ATACTTTTTTTTTCACCTGTATAAATTTAACCTACTGCTAGTAGAATAAAAAAGCATTGTAGATTTCAAATTAGGAAAAAATTAAGAAGCATTTTTTGATCAAGTCAGTGTATATGTCTTTCAGATATTAACATTAACATTGGTCTTAGTTATAAAAAATCATATCTAGAATATGAGGGAAAACCTGAACTGTTCACATCAGATCACTTGTATATATTCCAGTTTGTACTTCTGGAATTACAGTATAAGAAAGAGATGAACAAAATGGAACTTGTGAATAGCTGAGAAACCATTACCTTGAAAGATGAAGAAACTACAGAAAAAGGGTCCACTTTTAAAGGTGGAGAGGAGGAACATTAAAGTAGGGACAAAGAGGAAACATCAAAATCTGACTCACTGTCATAAGGTGAAAGAAAGATGATTGCCTTCATTTCAGTTTTAAATACTGTGTTAGTCCTAACATAATTAAGGCAATAAGCTTAAACTGAATGCAATATTTTCTGTAAGTGGGAGAATCTAGCCAGGGAAATTATTATGAATCACAACTATCTTTAGCTATCAGAAGAAGCTCTGTAGGCATGATGGCATAGAGAAGACCAATAAGGTAGTAGTGATGGGGTCAGGTCAAAGACTTCTAAGAAGTCTGACTTGAGCATAGGCTGATGAGAAAAATTGTAGGAGTAAGGGAATGAGTCCTCCCAGTTTTCATATTCAGTGCACAGTTAGTGCAACATGTATTAGAGGACAGCCTTCACTAAAAAAGCTAAGGTAGCTCATTTATTCTGATATTGGAGTGTTCACTGAAAAAGCCACAAATGTTGGAGAAGAAGGGAGACTGTATGGAGAACTGAAGAAATTGTCATTGGTGTGATACTGGAGTAAAATCAAAGGTTGTCTTTTAAGACAAGAGAGATCTGAGAGAGGAAAACATGACCCCAAACCAATTTTGAGTTGTACTAGTGATGATCGATCATAAGCCATGTAAGTCTTTAAGATAAAATAACACCGCCTCTCTCATCAGATGCAGTTATTATCTATATGTGTTTAATTCTTATGGTTAATTAAATCCTTCCTAGAATATTATGTTAAATATCTGGTTTATAATCTCAAGTTTTGCTCTATTCAAGAGAAATGAACAACATATTTTTAAATCAAAATTTCTAAATTATTTCTAATTTTTTTCTGTATTCTATATGAGGTATCTAAAGAGCCTTCATGGGGCAGTTGTTAAAGTGCTTGGCTGCTAAATGAAAAGTTGCAATTTAAACCCACCAGCCACTCCTTGAGAGAAACATGTAGGAAGTCTGCTTAGTATATATTACAGTCTTGAAAGTCTATGAGGCAGCTCTACTCAATGTTCAGCTGGAACTGACTCAGAGAAAACTATTTACTATAACATAAACTATCAATTTGTGTTATAATAAGTACCCACAATAAAGGGACAGAAACAAATTGTAATGAAATTTTCACTTGCTTTTGTTGTTATGTGCCGTCGAGTCAGACCTGACTCATAGCGACCCCTCCTTGGGTTTCCGAGGCAGTATCACTACGGAAGTAGATCGCCCAACCTTCCTTCCGAGGAGTGGCTAGTGGGTTTGAACTGCCAGTCTTCTGGTTAGCAGTCAAGTGCCTTAGGCACTATGCTACCAGAGCTCCCAAAACTAGAGTTCGTATTTTTATGGAAAAATATTCAACAGCCTTAATGTTCTACAGTGAGAGTAGATCATCAATTATAGTATCATCAAACATGACTATTTTAAACAATTGTAGTATGCAGCACACAGAGTATCTGTCCAGGATTTCTAACACACACCAAAATTGCATCAACTAGGCTAATTTCCATGCATACAAAATTTACATTCTATTAAAATTATAATTACACAGCCAACATTGTGAATCCAAATAGAAATAATTTACACATAAATCACTTCAGTTAGAGAAGAGATTGGAGTTCTTTCCTTCTCTCACATTAATTTAAAGCCAAAACAATTGGACTACAGTATTAAATACATAGCTGTTTTAAATATGAGAACACTAAAAAATATGACTATCCTTGTACTTTTAAACTTTCTTTCTAGACCAATGAAATAATGTTGTTGTTCTTATTTGCCATGGAGTTGATTTCAAGTCTTGTAGACCCAATGTATTAAAGAGTAATACTGCTTCATAGAGTTTTATTTTTATAATCTCAGTGGAGGAAGGTTGTCAGGCCTTTTCTTCTGCAGGACTGCTGCAGTTGTTATTGTTATGTGCCCTCAAGTGGTACCTGACTCATAGCAACCCTTTCTTGGGTTTCTGAGGCAGTACCACTACGGAAGTAGATTACCCCATCTTCCTTCCGAGGAGTGACTGGTGAGTTTGAACCACCAGCCTTCTAGTTAGCAGTCAAGTGCCTTAAGCACTACGCTAGGTTGGTTCAAACTTCCAACCTTCAGGTTAGCAGTCAAGCTCAAATTGTTTACGCCACTTGTTAGTTACTGTCAAGTCTATTCCTACTCATGATGACTCTATATGTATAGAGCAGAACTCCTCCATAGGAGGAGATTAAAAAAGACAACCACTCAGCTAGTGGCCAAACATTATACCATTTTTTACCCCACTTAGGGACCTTAAATGGGAGCTCTGGTAGCGTAGTGGCTAAGGCACTTGACTGCTAACTAGAAGGCTGGCAGTTCAAACCCACCAGCCACTCCTCAGAAGGAAGGTTGGGCAATCCTATTTCCGTAGTGTTAATGCCTCGGAAATCCAAGGAGGGGTCGCTATGAGTCAGGGCTGACTCGACGGCACATAACAACAACAACAACAGGGACCTTAAATAATACATAATAACAATGCTTAACCTAATGGCATTTGCTTTACTTGATAGGTGGCTTATATTATCCAAACATGACCAATCACACGCTGATGATGGAATTCTTGCTCATGAGATTCACTGAGAGTTGGACATTGGTGAGGCTATATGCTGCATTCTTCTCACTCATCTACCTAGTGGTGACAATGGAAAATGTTCTCATCATCATCCTCACAATTTTTGACCAACGTCTCTGCATCCCAATGTACTTTTTCCTCAGGCATTTGTCATTTTTAGATCTGTGTCTCATTTCGGCCACTGTACCCAAATCCATAGTCAACTCCATCACCTTCACTGACTCCATCTCTTTCCTGGGATGTGTGTTGCAGCTTTTCTTGGTGGTGCTCCTGGCAGGGTCAGAGATTGGCATTCTCACTGTGATGTCTTATGACCGCTATGTTGCTATTTGCCGCCCTCTGTATTATGAGGCTGTCATGAACAAGGGGACATGTGTTCAGATGATGGCTGTATCCTGGATCAATGGTGGGGCCTTGGGAATCTTGTACTCAGCTGGGACATTCTCTCTCAATTTCTGTGGCTACAATAAGATACATCAGTTCTTCTGTGATGTTCCTGCACTTCTACAGATCACTTGTTCTGAAGAACATATCACCATTGACATCAGTGTGGCCATTGGGGTCTGCTATGCATTTTCATGTTTAGTTTGCATTGTGGTCTCATATATATACATTTTCTCCACAGTGTTAAAAATCTCATCCAGACAGAACCAATCAAAAGCCTTTTCCACCTGCTTGCCTCACCTCATTGTGGTGAGTGCATTTCTCATAACAGGTGCTGTTGCCTACTTAAAGCCAGTCTCTGATGCACCTTCTTCTCTAGACCTTCTGGTGTCTGTGTTCTACTCCATGTTGCCACCAACCTTGAACCCCATTATCTACTGTCTGAGGAACAAAGATATTAAATTAGCTGTAGGTAAAATCCTATGGAGTGTTAGGAACAACTGAGCAATGGGAAGGTGATTAAAGTGGAAGTTAGAAGTAAAATCATCTTTTGTTGTCACTAACTAGTCTTTTGCATTGTTTATAAAAATGAAACACACTGCTATTGAGTCGTACCCAACTCATAGTGACCCCTCCTTGGGTTTCCATTTCTGAAGCAGTATCACTAGGGAAGCAGACTGCCCAACCTTCCTTCTGAGGAGTGGCTGGTGGGTTTTAACTATCAGCCTTCTGGTTAGCAGTCAAATGCCTTAGCACTATGTACCAGAGTTCCTTGTTTATATTTAGAGCTCTATTTTATATTTAGAGCTCTATATATCATTGATCCTTGTTGTTAATCTTAGGTTATTGGTTTTAACAAAAAAATAATTTTTCCCCTATACCTCTTCATTTTACATTTCTTATTTGTATAGAAATTATGAAGTTTTTCCTATTTTTTTGCATTTCCTATTGGTGATTTTGACTCTTTTTCTGAATCTCCACGTACATGGGATTTGCATGTTTCTAGCTCTTCCAAATCCTTCAACTGCCCTGGCAATTGCTTTATATAGTGAATGCTTTAACATTCTAGATTTTTTATCTGTTAATTTTATTGATTCCACTTAATGACTTCAGAATTTTTCTATTGGTTAATTTGAAACTTAACATAACTTAGCATTTTTTAAAAAAGTGCATTATTAATTTTATCACAAGCTTCATTAATTTCACTACTATATTTTTGAGGATGAAAATCACACAGTTATACTTGCTCACTCACTCCTGAGATTTCAGAAGAGATTTTATATCTTTGACTTTTCTCACGTTGATTAAATTTTTGGAATACATATTTTTTCCTCTTTATTACCATTTATTTTGTTGATTCCTGATATTGGGTTGTGTTTATAATGTACTGAATTTCTGAAAGTAGTCTCCGGCACTACTTTTCACATTATGGTAAATCTCACATCCTACTTTTCTTAGACTGTCGACATTGTTCCCAAAACCATAAATATCCATATTTAGATGTGATCTAAAATAGATTTATTATCTTACTTCAAATTATGTCTTTAACCATGTGATATCTAATATACATTTTTTTAAAATTTCTTGATACTATGTATAAATTCTCTGAAGGAAGATGGGGCAATCTACTTCCGTAGTGATACTGCCTTGGAAACCCAAGGAGGGGTCGCTATGAGTCGGGTCCGACTCGACGGCACATAACAACAACAACAACATGTATAAGTTGGCTAATATTATTAAAGGAGCTCCGGTAGCATAGTGCCTAAGGCACTTGATTGCTAACCAGAAGGCTGGCTGTTGAAACCCCCAGCCACTCTGCGGAATGAAGATAGGGCAATCTACTTCAGTAGTGCTACTGCCTAGGAAACCCAGGGAGGTGTCGCTATGAGTTGGGGCCGACTCAATAGCACATAACAACAACAACACATTATTATTAATGTTTCTATTCTACTACTTGTTTGTTGTGTAATTCTCGGAGTCTTAAAAGCTTGAAAGTGGCTATCCCAAGGTATTATTACAATAGGTTTCTTTGCCTGGATCAAAAGAGGAAAAGGAAGAAGATTCAGTAATAGGAGGAGGAAATAGAATTTGTGGCTAAATCCCTCTATGAATAACTGCTTCTTTTGCCATGAGAAAGGAGCTCTGATGGCATAGTGGTTAAAGTATCTGGCTGCTAACCAAAATGTCCATGATTTGAATCTACCAACCATTTCACAGGAGAAAGATGAAGCCGTCTGCTTGGTAAAGATGTGTAGCCTTTGAAACCCCATGGGACAGTTCTATTATTTCCTGTATAGTCTTTATTACTTGGAAACAACTCTACGACTGTGGATTCTTTTTATTTTTTTTTTTTTGCTAGGGGACAATTTGCCATGAGACCAGTAAAAATGGATGGTGTTTGGTTATCATTACAGGAATTTTTATTCATCAAAGACTCTATAGAAGTTTTCTGATCAAAAGGGGTAAATAGAAACAAAATTTTCATTCTTAGAGACTGTGGAATTTCTGGAGTCATTTATGTAAGAAGAATGTCTGAAACGAATGTCCTGAAATAGTTTTTAAATCTTAAACTTTAGCAATCCCCCTAAATCGTCTTTAACCCCCAAAATACATCAACTTAATTAGTAAACAATGTCTACCTTGAACATTGTGCTTTTTAAATAACTAATTATATAAGGTGAGCTTTGGTGGCGTAGTGCCTAAGGCATGTAACTGCTAACCAGAAGGCTGGCAGTTCAAACGCAACAGCCACCCCTGGCAAGGAAGACTGAGAAATCTACCACCTCGGAAACCCAAAGAGGGGTCATTATGAGTCAGATTCTACTCCATGGCAGTGAGTTTTATTTTCATGGGATCAAATAGACAACAACAATTTGACAGACTATATAGGAATCTTAGATGGTAGTGTGCCTGTCAATAGGTGAGGAATAATTGGGAAAAGGAGAATGAGATTGGTTGCACAACTTGAAGAATTTATCCCATGTCACTGAATTGTATATGTAAACTTCATTCAGTTGGTGTCTGTTTTGCAGTATATATTCAACAATTGAAAAAATATCCATATAGTGGAAACAATATATTAGGAATTATATGTATCTATAATGTCAATACAAGGAAATGCACCATAAATTAAGTAGATTAAGTTAAAGTAAAAGATCTCAAGTAAAATTGATTTAAAGGGTGGAAAGCATCAGATGTCCTACTGTTGTGTGTACACATTCAGGGTTGGCCTCTGTTAACCTGAATCAAAACTGTGATTTCCCTGAATCCATGTGCCCTCCCAACTCGCCCCTCCTTGTTCCCTGTGTATGATGATGTAGGGGATGCCCTGATTATCTATAGTTGCTACTTTGTGTTGCCTGTGAACAGCAGGCACAAAGGGACCACATTGAAAACCTGGATTTCAAATGATAATTCTGTCAACTTCTCTTGTTGTGATCATTTTCCCCTTTAATCTTTTGTTTTTGTTTTCTTGATCAACACAACTTCCAAACAACTTTCTTGAGCCATTTTCTAATGGAGGTGATCCACCTTTAATGGAAGGAAATGAGGCTCCCACATTCCTCCAGATCTTCATTTCCTTTAATGTAGTGGTCAAGGTAGTGATGTATAATGAAAACTGTTAATATATTTTGAGAAATTTCTTTTCTAAGTTGTAATTCCCCCATGCACTGATTTTATGTCAGATTGCATTTCATATTCTTCTTGTAGTTCAGCTTTAGTTCCAGCTTTAGTTTTTTTTTTTTTTTTTTCCCCATTGGTAATAACTCTATTTTTTTTTTTTTTTTTATTAGG